CTGCCTCCTCCCTCCTCCCTCCTGTTTCTCCTCTCTCCTTCCTCGTCCCTCCTCCAAACTCCCTCCTCCCTCCCTTCCTCCCCCCTCTCTCTTTCTCTCCCTCTCTCTCTCTCTCTCTCTCTCCCTCTAAATCGTCCTCCCCCTCCGCGTCCCGTCCCTCCTAGCATCTTCCTTCCCTCCTCCCTCGTCCCTCCTTGCTCCCTTCCCTCCTCCCTCGTCCCTCCGCCCGCCCTTCCAAAGAGAAATAATCCCCCTAAAGGGGGTACGTTCGAATACTAAGAGGGCGGGTATCGAGGGTGTGCCTTGTGATTCATTCAGGATTCACCCTTTAGTCACCCGCCCGCCAGGTTTCGCCCGCCCGATCCGCCTGTTACAGCCCGCCCGTTCGCTCTCTTGGCATCTCGCCCGCCCGCTTTAAGCCACCGCCCGCCCGACCCGCCAGCGAGGGTCCGCCGCCCGACCCGTCCGTTGGCGTCCGCCCGCCCCGCCAGCCCGACCCGCCCCTCAGAGTCCGCCGCTCGACCCGTCTGTCTGGTCCGTCCGTTTGTTTACCTCCTCTTTTGCCCCCCTCCCCTCCTGCTAACCTCTTTCTTCCTCCATCCATCCTCCCCCCCTTGCCCCTTCCCTCCTCCCTCCCTCCCCCCACTCTTTTCCTCCTCGCTCTCCCTTCCTCCTTCCCCCTGCTCTTCCTGTTGTAGGGGCTGCGCCAACTACACGTGGCGAGTAAAAAAGATATACCCCCAAAGGGGTATGACCGAAGACGAAGAGGGTGGGTATCGAGGGTTTGGGATTTACATATTGAGTGACGCGCGCGCATATAAGAGCGATCAGTCTTAATATGATTGTTGAACATTATTAATTCCAAAGAATAATTATTGTTGGGCCCCCTGGTGCACGCCCCCCCTGCGCCGCCTAGGCCGCAGCTACATTTTCATCATTTTCGTGAGGAAGCCTCAGGTAAAACGGTGTGATCCAGATCCGGTTGTTTTGTTGTAATCCGTTTTCCCTTGCAAAAAACACTATAAAATGACATTTCTTGTTCTAATATAATCAAATTTCAAGAATCCCTTGCAAAAAACAAGGTAAAGTGGACATTCGCGCGCGCAAGACGAAATCCTTCCAAAACCTTAGTGTTCGCAGCGATTTTAACATAAAAACATCAAAACACCAATGGTTTTTCAACAAAAAACTGTCAAAATCTCATCCCGCGCGCTCTTGCGGATTTGTAGGAAACCCAACACTTTTTAAACATTTCTGTCAAACGGGCTTTTGCGAGCAACTTTTTCACGTGCTTCGAACTTCTCCAACAACGGTTGCGCACTTGCCAGGGCCATCATAAATTTATATTAAAATAGCCACTGGTCAAATATACATTCGGGGACACATTCGTTTTTTCTTCGCGCGCTCACAGCCGAAATCTCCACAAACCATTTGGGCTTCTAAGAATTTTAGCACCGCGCATCATAAAATCACACGAAGCGCACCGAAGGTTCCTCGAAAACACCTGCACGACTTTTTCAAAATTTCCCCGCGCGCGCTGGTCCGAATCCTAGAAACCAATGGTTTTCCACATTTATGTTACATGAAGCTAGCTAAGCTAACCTTCGCACGCCTTAATAAACAACAACTTCTGTGGGTTACAAGGCTTAACAACTTCTGTGGGTGTACGAACGTAGGCTTAACAACTTCTGTGGGTGTGTACTCCACGCCAGTGTAGTAGCCACGGTCGTCCGCAGGCCACGAAGTGAAGTGTCCGAACGTCATAGGGCGGGAAGCTGGGTGTGGGTGGTGGCGAAGAGTCGTGGGGATATTTGGTAGAGTTTGCACTGCCCCCCCACAAAGTGGGGGTATTGGCTGGCGTCGCATGAAAACCCTGGCACTGGTGAGAACACTGAGCGTTCGGGTAAAGTGATTGTTGTCGTTGTTGTTGTTGTTGTTGTTGTTGTTGTTGTTGTTGTTGGTGTTGTTGCTGTTGGTGGTGTTGTTGTTGTTGTTGGTGTCCGTTGTCGTCGTCGTGTCGTTGTCGTGTCGTGTCGTTGTTGTTGTTGTTGTTGTTGTTGTTGTTGTTGTTGTTGGTTTAAACGAAAATTGCTCAGCGTGTCGCGGCGGCGGCCCCGGCGACACGATAGATGCCCTGCGAGCGGAGAATACGTGCCGCTCCGCCCCGTGGCAGGCAGGAAGCTGTGGCAAGAATTCGGGACGCGGACGCCTGGGACCGGGAAGCCGTCAGCCGTGCCGAGCGTCGTGGGTTGGGCCAAGACCGGCGGCGCGACACGCTGAGCCAAAAATCCTGATCGTGCTCCTCCTCCTCCTCCTCTATTCCTCCTCCTCCTCCTCCTCCTCATATTCCTCCTCCTCCTCCTCCTCCGCCTCCTCCTCCTCCTCCGTCTCCTCCTCCTCCTCCTCCTCCTCCCGTCGGTGAGGGTCCCGTGCCGTCGTTACGAAGGGAGGTGCTGCTGGAGAGGGTTGTGGCTGCCCCCGCCCCAGCGCGAGCGTTCAAGGTGGAACGCCGGCAGCGGCCAAGAATCGGCCGACACCAGACATCCAGACATCGGAGCACGCCGAGAGCGCGCCAGGAGCTCGCAGGGGGGGGGCGCGCGCGAGAGGTGGGCGAGAGGCCGCCCGAGGAAGCCTCTGGGGCTCGCCCCCCCCCCCCCCCCCTCTGCATGCTTCCCTCGCCTCCTCCCTTCGACCTCCTCCTCCCTCTCCCCCTCGTCGTCTCGCCCCCCGGCTCACCCCCCGAATCTCACCCCCCGAATCCATACAGATATATCATCGAAAATCCGTTTCATGTGTGTGTGTGTGTGTGTGTGTGTGTGTTTTGTCTGCTGTTTTTTGTTATGTTTTCTGTTTCTCTGTTTTTGGTTCGTTTTTGGGTTCGTGCCAACAGGAAATTCCCGGCATTCTTCCTCGAGTTCGGGCCCTGGGGCCCGCTATCAGGCCCCGGGCCAGGATCAGTGAACCCGTGGAGAACGCACGACGTGTGGCACTGCCCGTCGCCTGGGGGGCGCTCTGCCCATCAGTCGGGCATGTGCCTCCGCAGGAGGAACATTCAAAGGCAGTGAACAAAATAGTCAGGGGACGATCTTCCCATTATTTTTTTGTCTACTTTCTACCTCTCGTTCAAAATACCCCTGTAGGAGGACACGCCCGACCTAGCTCCGCCCCTGGGTACGTATGACGTTCGCTGGGCGCGTCGTCGTCGCCGATGGGCTGCGCAGAGCCTGCCGCCGTAAGGAAGGACAGCTCCTGCGAGGAGGCTCTCGTGGCTCGGGCTCGGTCTCTCGCTGTGCTCGGCAGCTCCTTGAAGCGATCTCTCGGCCAGGGAGGAGGAGGAGGAGGAGGAGGAGGAGGAGGAAGGAGGAGGAGGGGAGGAGGAGAGGACCCCAGGGCGGGAGCGCCGAGGGGAGAGAGAGAGAGAGGAGGGAGGAGGAGGAGGAGGAGGAGAGAGGAGGAGGAGGAGGAGGAGGAGGAGGAGGAGGAGGAGGAGGGGAGGAGGAGGAGGAGGAGGAGGAGGAGGAGGACCCCAGGGCGGGGAGCGCCGAGGAGGAGGAGGAGGAGGCGGAGGGAGAGGAGGAGGAGGAGGAGGAGGAGGAGGAGGGAGGAGGAAGGGGAGGATAGGAGGGGAGGAGGAGGAGGGACCCCAGGGCGGGGAGCGCCGAGGAGGAGGAGGAGGAGGCGGAGGGAGAGGAGGAGGAGGAGGAGGAGGAGGAGGAGGAGGAGAAGAGGAGGAGGAGGAGGAGGAGGAGGAGGACCAATGGAAATCCAATAGTTACTAACGATGTTGGAATTTACTCTTCCTCCAAGCTCCCTCTTCATATGCCTCTACAGCGGTTCATCTCTATTGAGGGAACTGCATCGTTGGAAGACAACGGTTTGAATATCCTGAAGCGTGCCAAGACATTGTTCTCGGGATTTCAACGCCACATCTCAACCTGACTTCTGCGTCTTGACGATCCAGAATCGTGCCACAACGTCTATTTTTGGGCTCCGACACAACGAATCAACGTAATTGTTGCGGCCGCATATTCCGGAATCCTTCCAAAACACTATTTCTGGTACGTTGATCATAGGAACCCGTGAAACTCTTGCAAATGTTAACGCGGCACTAAAGCGATAACCACATTTTGAAAAAGAACCGCCCTCAACCCGTGAAACTCTTGCAACTGTAAAAAACGAATATGCGCGGCGCTAAGGCGAGAACCACATTTTGAAAAAAGAACCACCCTCAATCCGTGACACTCTTGCAAATGTTTAAAACGAATGCGCGCGGCGCGAAAACGAGAACCACATTTAGAAAACCACCCGCCCTCAATCCGTGAAACCATTGTAATTTGGTAAAGTGAATGTGCGCGGTGCTACGGCGATAACCACATTTAGAAAACCACATGCCCTCCAGCCATGAAACCCTTGCAAATGTTTAAAGCGAGTGTGCGCGGCGCTAAGGCGATAACCACATTTTGAAAACGACCCGCCCTCAATCCGTGAAGCTCTTGCACATTTTTACAACGAATGTGCGCGGCGCTAAAGCGAGAGCCACATTTTGAAAACCACCCGCCCTCCATCTGTGCAGCTGTTGCCACTTGTTAAGCTTCGGAGTCATAAATGGTGAGGTCTCAGGCGAAACGCACGGCCCGCCCTAAAAAACTGGCCTCGGGGTGCGACAGGGAGAGGTTATCTATAAGGAGAAGGAATGGGAGACGAGAGTGCTGAGGGCGACGCGAGATCTCTGCCACGAGGTGGGCCCGTCCAGAGGGCCCCGCGCGCAGGTGGCGAAGGGCTGGCCCCAGGGAGCAGGTCGGGCCTGCCAGACCGCGCACCGAGATCATCGCGTCGTCGAGTGCCTGGGTCTGCCTCCTGCCTCTCTCGCCCCATCTCCTACCTCCCTCTCTCCCTTCGCCTCCTCCTCCTCCTCCGCCTCCCTCTCGTCCTCATCTCCCCCTCCTCCTTCCTCCTCCCTCCGCCACCCTGGACATCGGGCAGCCCGGACACGGGAGAACCTGACCACGACGCTCTTCATGTTGCGGTCGAGCTGCGTCTCCGCCTCGGACATCTTCAGCACCTCCGCTCTAAATGCTGACCCGTTCGCCTGATTCCCTCAACTTGAGTTTGTCCGCACTGCGCCATTCTCGTCCTGCGTCGTGCTCACCCCCGAACCAATGAACCATGACAATCTCAGAACAATTGCAGCATACACCGAAACACTCCCAAATCAACTGCAGCATACATCGACAAAGTTGAATTACGGTCGGAACTCGGACATCATACCATCCTTCAAGAGCATGAGACCCTCTGCCGGCCTAACTCAAGAACGATCGAGGGTGTTCTCCACCTGGGATGCACAATACCATCCAACAAAGACGAAACACATTAGAGTACCCTCCCCGAACCGACCTCGATCTGATACCTCTGTCCGACCATATCTGTCAAATGCATCGCGAGTTCCCCCGCAGGGTTCCCCCGTCCTCCTCCTGTTCCTCCGTCCTGGACCAACAATTCCGAGGAAGGCCAACCGCCGAGACACTGACGGCCCTACCACCTGGCCCACATCCGCCCCACTTGAGGGGCAACGATAGGGTGGGATAGGGATAGGGGGGAGACATCGGCCTGGAATCGGCGATACATCGCCGATACATCGGCGATAGACCTCCGATAGTGCATCCGCGCGTTCCTGCGGAGGTTGGGGGTCGATGCATCCCCCCCTATGCCTATCCCCCCCTATCGTTGCCCCTGACCAAAGCCGTCCCTGGACTTCTCCCCGGGGTCCATCCAGGTCCGCTTTCTTTCAGGGCGCTCCCGTCCGTGGCGACTGGGAGCCTCCCGGAGGCCGGAGAACGACGAGCCACGCCAGGGAGTCCGCCCGTGTGGTGTCTCGACGGGCCCTCTTCCGACTGGGAGGTGCAGCAACTCGGGCGGGTGGCAAAGGCCCTGCACGGGGGCCCGTTAGGGCCCCCCCTTCGCAACACTCCCCAAACATGCTTTCAAGCGTCCTGGCAAATGTCTCCCACACGCGTTTTTGGACTGCGTCGCTATCTGGGTTTTGGACCGCACCAGTGCGATATATGCGAAGCAACCACTGTGGTGTAATATATGTGGTGCAATCCACTTTGACTGTCTTGAAGCTGTCCTCTCCACTGCTCGTGCAAACATCCCACCCTCCCACCCGCAACTTGGTCGCAGAACTTCTTAAGACCGTGACGGTGGGTACCAAATGGCACTTGGTAACCACAGCGACGCCGACGACGACGACGCCGACGACGACTACGACGACACCGGCGACGTCTCCGACGACTTCGACGACGACGACGACGACGACGGCGACACCGACGACGACGACGACAACGACGACGACGGCGGCGGCGACGACGACGACGCCGACGTCGACGACGACGAAGACGACGACGCCGACGCCGACGCCGACGACGAAGACGACGACGACGTCGCCAACGAAGACGACGACGAGGGAGGAGGGAGGACGACGACGGCGACAACGACGACAACGACAACGACGACAACGAGGGAGGAGGGAGGACGGCGACGACGCGAACGACGAAGAAGGAGGAAGGACGGCGACGCCGACGACGACAACGCCGAGGGAGGAGGGAAGACGACGACGACAACGACGACGACGACGGCGACGAAATAGGAGGGACGACGACGAGACGCCGACGACGGACGACGACGACGACGAGGGACGCCGAAAAGAGCTCGCCGCGTAAGCTTTTTTAGCAAATCAGTGTTGCGAAACCATGTGTTTTTGTATGTTTTTTGGACGCCGACGACGACGATGACGACACCGACGACGACGACGAGGGAGGAGGGAAGACGACAACGAGGACGACGACGACGCCGACGACGACGACGCCGAGGACGACGACGACGACGACGTCGCCAACGAAGACGACGACGAGGGAGGAGGGAGGACGACGACGGCGACAACGACGACAACGACGTGGGAGGAGCGAGGATGGCGACGACGCGAACGACGAAGAAGGAGGAAGGACGGCGACGCCGACGACGATAACGACGAGGGAGGAGGGAAGACGACGACGACAACGACGACGACGACGGCGACGAAATAGGAGGGACGACGACGAGATGCCGACGACGGACGACGACCACGGCGACAACGACGACGGAAACGACCACGACGCCAAAGAGGACGACGACGACGACCACGAGGAAAGACAGAGGATGACGTAGGCGACGACCACGACGACGACGACGACGACGCGGGAGGAGGGAGGACGGCGGCGACGACGACGACGACGACGCAAGAGCGCGCGCGCACGCTTTTGTTGAAAATCCGTGTTGCGAAACCTTGTGTTTTTGTAGGTTTTGGAACCACGATGTTGAAATCCTTCCGAGACCGATGGGTTTTGAAGGATTTCGGCATACGCGCGCGACGACGCGCGCGTCTGCACTTCGTCTTTTTTTTGCAGAGGATTCTCATGACGGCACACGCGTAAGGGCGTTCGACAAGTTTCGACATGCGCGCGCGCGAAGCCCGTTTGGTAGCATTTTGTGGCGGGCCGGTAACGCCAGGGGGGGGGTAGAGTCTATCTCTTTTTAGAAAGGAAAATTGACTACCCTGCACCGCGCTTGACCACCTCCACTGCTCGCGCAAACATCCCACCCACCCACCTGCAGGTTGGTTTGCAAAACCTCTTAAGACCGTGACGGTGGGTACCAAATGGCACCTGGCAACGACAGCGACGCCGACGACGACAGCGACAACGACGACGACGACGCCGCCGCCGACAACGACTACGACGACACCGACGACGCCTCCAACGACTTTGACGACGCCGACAACGACGACGACGACGACGACACCGACGACGTTGACGTCGACCCCGATGACGACGATCACAACGACAACGACGATGACGACGCCGACGACAACGACGACACCGACGACGACGACGTCAACGACGCCGACGACGACGACGACGACGGCGACGACGACGACGACGCCGACGTCGACGACGACGAAGACGACGACGACGCCGCCAACGAAGACGACGACGAGGGAGGAGGGAGGACGACGACGGCGACAACGACGACAACGGCGGCAACGACGAGGGAGGAGGGAGGACGGCGACGACGCGAACGACGGAGAAGGATGAAGGACGGCGACGGCGACGACGACAACGACGAGGGAGAAGGGAAGACGACGACGACAACGACAACGACGACGACGACGACGACGACGGCGACGAAATAGGAGGGACGGCGACGAGACGCCGACGACGGACGACGACGACGAGGGAGGAGGAGGAAGGACGACCACGGCGACAACGACGACGGAAACGACCACGACGCCAAAGAGGACGACGACGACGACGAACACGAGGAAAGACACAGGACGACGTAGGCGACGACGACGACGACGACGCGGGAGGAGGGAGGACGACGGCGACGACGATGACGACGCAAGAGCGCGCGCGCACGCTTATGTTGAAAATCCGTGTTGCGAAACCTTGTGTTTTTGTAGGTTTTTTGGAACCACGATGTTGGAACCCTTCCGAAACCGATGGGTTTTGAAGGATTTCGGCATACGCACGCGACGACGCGCGCGTCTGCACTCGTCCCGTTTTTTGCAAGGGATTCGTGAAGAAAGTCTTAATGTTCGAACAACAAATGTCCCCGCGTATTTTTTTCTAACAAAGGAACTCCCGGGGGAGCGGTACCGCCCCCCTGGGGATGGTGCGAATTCATGTTTAGGATGGACATGTGGTCATAATCATACATGATTTACACACCCGAAAAAAACAAGGGATAATTGCGTGTAACAAGCGAATTGACACATCCCATGCTCTTGCAAACGTTCCACCCGCCCACCCACCCGCAACTTGGTTTGCAAAAGCCCATGCGGTGGCGATCGCGATGCATGCTTGGCGTTGGCTGGTGCATCTCTGCGGCCGCGAAAACCCTAGCACGCGCGCGCAGAGGCCAACTACTTTGGCGCCGCCGACGCGGCCGCGGTGGCGTTGACCGCTGGGCGCATCCCAACGGGCACTTTTTTTGCGAATCGGCGACTTGGGCGGGCGCGGTATCATGGCAAGGCCGACAACAGTAGACACGATGATGATAGTAGCGATGCTGGTGGCGATGTTCGCACCGACGAAGGCGCGGCCACTGCGGGCGCCGATGCTGATTACGCCGACGGCGATGGCGGCGTCCTCGCGTCGGTGATGCAGGTTTTGGAAAAATGGTCCGACATGCGCGCGCGGCCGACGCGCGAGAGTGGCCCGCATGGGTTTATTTGACACCGATCGTGCCCCCCTCAACACGCGCGCAAGGGCGTGCGAATGATGTCGGCATGCGGCGCCAGAGGTCCGTTTGGCAGAGTACAATGGACATGTTGAAACAATTCTGGTTGTCTTAAGAATTCGCGGGAACGCGCATTTTTTGAGAACAACTGTTGCGAAACCAAGAATTTTTGATTGTTTTTTGGACATTCGGTTTTTGGCATCGTTACGGAACCACCGTTTTTTCAAGAATTGCGGCCTGTGCGCGCGACGACGTGCGTGCGCGTGTGCACTTCGTCTCACTTTTTGTGCACTGGCTTCTCGCGACGGCACGCGCGCAAGGGCGTCCGAACGATTTCAACATGCGCGCGCGAAGCCCGTTTGGTAGCATTCTCTGAACATGTTGGAAAACCGATGGCTCTCTTAAGAATTACAAGCAGAACGCACGCCGTTTTTGAACATCCGTGTTACGGAACAATGCATTTTTGTTTCTTTTGGACACGCGCTTTCGAGATCCTTCCGAAAGCGAGGGTTTTTGAAGGATTCTGGCATGCGCGCGCGACGACGAGCGCGTGTGCACTTCTTCGCAGTTTTTGCTAGGGATTCTTGAGAACTTATGACTTTTGATGAACGGGTGTGCGAGGTTTTTTTGCAGAAGATGTCAGGGGGGGTCGAACCTGGCTGGGCTGGGATGGTACGAACTCATATTCGGGATGGACGATGGGGCAGAATTCATTCATCCACCCCGCTCGCACAAGGGCGGGCCCAAGAAGTGCGCGAGGGAAAAACGCAAGCTCCAGTGCACCGCTCAGACAAACCTGAGGAAGGATGGGGCAGAATCGTATGCAAATTGCAACACAAAAAAGGTGCACCAACTAAGCCAGGGGGTGGTGGTGGATCCAAATTCGTTTTTAGAAAGGAGAACCGACCTGAGGACGAAGGGCGGCGACGAGGCGGCGACGGGGCGGCGACGGCGGCAACACAGCGGCGGACCCGACACTGGGGCGCAGACAACGGGCAACAACGAGGCAGCGACAGGGCAGGGACGGCTACAACAAGGCGGCGGACCCGACACCGGGGCCCAAACGACGTGCGGCGACGAGGCGGGGACGGGGCGGCGACGGCGACAACAAAGCGGCGGACCCGACACCGGGGCCCACACGACGAGTGGCGACGCGGCGGGGACGTGGCGGCGACGGCGACAACAAGGCGGCGGACTCGACACCGGGGCCCACACGACGAGTGGCGACGAGGCGGGGACGGGGCGGCGACGGCGAGAACAAGGCGGCGGACCCGACACCGGGGCCCACACGACGGGCGGCGACGCGGCGGGGACGGGGCGAAGACGGCGGCTTCACGGCGGCGGACCCGACACCGGGGCCCACACGACGGGCGGCGATGCGGCTGCGACGGCGACAAGGAGGCGGCGGGCCCGAAAACGAGGCTCAGTTCACTTAGACAAAGAAGTAAACACGCCTATATGGAAGCACCGTTCAGGGAACAACTTGCAACACTTTCGCGGATGGATTGCGGGCGATTTTTCATAATGAGGATCTCGTTTTAGTGCCGCGCGAATTCGTCTTACAAGTTTGCAGCAGTTTCAATGATGGAGGGCGGTTCCTCTTCAAACTGTGGCTCTCGCCATCGCGTCGCACACATCCGTCTTACAACTTCGCGATCTCCTCAAGGACTCATATGGTTGAAGTCCCAAGCGTGGTGTTCTGTCGCGATTCAGGATTGTCAGGACGCAGCAATTATGTAGAATCGTGGGCTTGCAATCCAACAAATAACGTTCTGGCACCATTCCTGATTGTCAGGACGCAGCAAACACGTTGATACGCGGCGTTGGAGTCACAGGAGTGGAATTTTGCCCCGATTGAAGATTCTCAGACTCTTGTCTTCTAATGGGTCACTTCCCACAGTGGCCCTATGTATGAAGAGGGAACTTGGAGGGAGGGCTTATTGCAACATCTTCGATGCGTCTTGGGTTTGCACTGGTCCTCCTGCTCCTCCTCCTCATCTCCTCCTCCTCCCTCATCTCCTCCTCATCTCCTCCTCATCTCCTCCTCTCTCCTCCTCTCCTCCTCTCTCCCCTCCTCCTCCTCCTCCTCCTCTCCTCCTCCTCCTCATCCTCCTCCTCTCTCTCCTCCCTCCCTCTCTCCCTCCTCTCTCTCCCCCTCCTCTTCCTCTCTCCCCTCTCTCTCCCTCTCTCCTCTCTCCTCCTCTCTCATCTCTCCTCTCCTCTCCTCTCTCCTCCTCCCTCTCTCCTTCCTCTTCCTTCCTCTCTTCTCTCTCCTCTCTCCTCTCTCCCTCTCTCTCTCTCTCTCCTCTTCCTCTCCCCCTCTCCTCTCTCTCTCTCCCCTCCTCCTCCCTCTCCTCTCTCTCTCTCCTCTCTCCTCTCTCCTCTCTCCTCTCTCCTCTCTCCTCCTCCTCCTCCTCCTCCTCCTCCTCCTCCTCCTCCTCCTCCTCCTCCTCCTCCTCCTCCTCCTCCTCCTCTCTTCTCCTCCTTTTTCCCCACATTCCCCCTTCCTCTCCCTTGCTCCTGCCAGCTCCACCCGCCGAGGGACGCAGGAGGCCCCTCCGCCCGCCCGCCCCGGGCCATCAGGGCTGCGGCCCACAGGTCCCGCTCCTGGGCGTCCCACGAGTCGGAGGACCTGCCCGGGAGGTGGAAGATTAGAAGGGAGGGAGGGAGGGAGGGAGGGGGAGGGAGGGAGGGAGGGAGGGGAGGGAGGGAGGGAGGGGAGGGAGGGAGGAGGAGAGAGGAGGAGGGGGAGGAGGAGCAGAAGGAGGCGGAGGAGGGAGAAGAGGAGGAACAGGATCGGCAAACGAGATCGCGCCGACATATGCTGTCGATGCTGCTGTTGTTGTTGCTGCTGCTGGTGTTGCTGCAGATGAATGCAAGCTGTTCGCACGAGCGTGCCCAGACCTGAAGCGAAAACCACACGGCGAAACTAACGACCTGTGCTCCACCCGTGACGCTGCTGCAAACTTAACGAAGTGTACGCGGACGCCATCGGCGACCTCTTTTTATTATGGCAGCGAGCTGGTATACCCACCGGCGTGTCTGCTGTGGGCGTGCGCGGCGCGAGGACGAGAACCGCACTTTGAAGATGTGCCGCCTCCAGAGGAGGAGGAGGAGGAGGAGGAGGAGGAGGAGGAGGAGGAGGAGGACGAGGTCGTTCTCGTACATTCTCGGCGGGAGGACCCCTTGTACAGGGAAAGGAATGGAGGGAGGATGGAGGGAGGGAGGAGGAGATCTGGACGCGCTGCAAGACAGATATGGGTTCGAGCCTGGAGGGAGCGAGGAAACAAACAACAATCCCGTCTGTCCTCCCCTTCTTCGTCCTCGTCCTCCTCCTTCTGCTTCTCCCCCCCTCCGCCGCCTCCTCTAATCTGGCCTTGCCGTCGATCGGCTTGCGTCTGAAAAGAAACTGTTTGTTGAATGAACGTTCCGTGTAAATCAACACTGAATCTTTCCCAACCGGAGAAGACCTCCTGACAAACCGGAACCATGGTGTTCGGCATGGGATAGTTTTTGGAAAGTGGAAGAATTGAGCCCAAAATGCATGTCCACAATCAAAACTGCCAACTGATAAAATTATCCAGTGCGACCCTACCTAGGAGTTGGAGCCTCTAGGAAAGCAACATTAGTAGGAGCGGTAAACGCCGTCCTCCTCCCTGATGCGTGTGCTATGCTATGCTGCGGTATGCTATGCTATGCTATGCTTTTGCTTTGCCTTCGCTTTTGCCTTCACTATTGCTTTTGCTTTTGCTTTTGCTTGGCACCCAAAGAGCGCAACTGGCGGAACTGCGCGTTTGCTTTTACCTTTGCTGTTGCTTTTGCTTGGCCCCCAGGGGACTGGGGGAACCGCCCGGGGCGCTTTCCACTGCCCGGCCCCTTTAAGCCAAGACAGTAAGAAACCTTCTAGGCAGAACCTAGGTAAGGAATTCCTAATGTCGTTTACCGTGAAATCGTTCTCACACTCAATCGTGTTCGAACACGTTGCTTGTCCCATTTGCCCCGTCGGACTGGTCGAACTTACTGTCTGTTCACCCGACGCGCCCACTTCCCCTCTGCAGGTACGCAGGGGTGGAGGTGTCCGCCTCCCTGCCTTCCTTTCCTCTCTCTTCCTATTTCCCCTTCCTCCTCCCCCTACATAATGACGAGGATGAGAGGGAGAAGGATGAGGAGGATAATGGATCGGCCAGGATGGAGCGAGGAACCACATCCATTTCTGCCCCACAGGTGCCCTGGCGCACGAGGAGCGCTACAGGGAGCAAGCGCCGATGGAACCCTGGAGCAGCGAGCACCTTCTGCGCCCTGACTGCTCCGCGTCTCGGCGCTCAGACTGCACACGCATCGCCTTGACTTACGTCGGGCCTGTCCCCCTACAGGGGGATTTTGGACGAAAAATTAAACATACCCCCAAAATACCCCCAAATGGCTACAAATACGGAAAAAAATACCCGGACTATTTTTGGACTCTTTTGGGATATTCATCCTGTAGAGGGACACGCACGACTTGAGCCTTGACCCCTCAAGGCGAAATGCCCCCTGCCCCCTGGCTTCCGGGCTGTAGCCGGGCTCTCTCCGGGGGCAGCCAAAACGGGGGCGTCCAAGAGGGGGAGGCGCAAATCATGACCAGCGGCATGTGTGCGCGGCCCAGAGGGGGGGGGCCGGGGACGCAAGGAAACAGGAGGAGGCGCCATGGAAGCTGAGGAAATATCATGGCCCACGCCATGATATCCACTCCCCCCTAGTCATCACCCCGCTCTTGGCCGCCCCCGATCTCCTGCGGCCGCTGGGGACGACCCGGGCACCCCTGGAACACCCACTGCGAGGCACAACTGCTGGATAGCATCCAAGGACCGGGAAATCGCCGAGCAGCGGCGAAAACGCCCGAAAACCTCGAGCCTCGGAGAGAGGTCCCCCCGCGCCACGGCCTGCATCCTGGTGATCTCAAGTCCGCGTCCACGCGTTTCCGCAGCCGCACGCGGTCCAGCGTCCACATCGTCGTCACCAGCCAATCGTCCCTGAGCCCCAGGCTGGCCTTGGCGCGCTAAAGGAGATGTACAAACAGACGCGCCGCGCGACACGCCGCCGTCGTCGTCGTCGTCGTCGTCGCCCTCCGCCTCCCGCTGTTGCTGCTGCTGCTGCTGTTGACAGACAGGCAGGCGCTCGCCTCATGCCGAGGCCGCAACACTCAGATGAAGACCGTGCTGGAACACTCCCCGCGTCCCTCGCCGTCCTCCCCAAATCCTCCTTCCTTCTCCTCGTCGTCCTCCTCCTCCTATTCGTACTCTGGCTCATCCTCCTTCCTCGCCGTCCCGCTCCTCCTCCGCCTCCTCCTTTTCCGCTCCCGTTCACCTGCCCCCTCACTCTCCTTCTCCCCCTCCCCTTCTTTCTCCTCAGACCGCTCCTGCCCAGATCTATCCTAAATGGCACATTCTAAATACTGTTCTCTTTTCTGCCCTGACCCAGTCCCGCAGATGCTTTGCCTTCCCCGCGCATTGCTTAGACACGTAGAATTTGACAACGGCGGTCTCTCCCATGCCTTTGTTGGAATCCGATGTTTCCCAACCATCCTGTGTTGGGTCTGGGTCCTCGTTTTGAAGAGACAGCGCCCCGCGTTCTCCTCCTCCTCTCCTCCTCCCCCCTCTCCTCCATCCTCCCATGCGTGCCTCTGCCCTCCGCATGTCCATTTCGGCACTCTGCCCTCCGCATGCCCATGTCGGCACGCCCCTCACACGGTTCGTGGTCCCATAGGGAGCTCCACCCAAGGCCCCTATGGCCGCATTCACATGCGTCCACCCCGCCCACCGCATGCCCATTTCGACACACCTCTCACGCGGTTCGTGGCCCCATAGGGAGCTCCACCCAATGCCCCAGTGGCCGCATTCATATGCGTCCACCCCGTTCACCGCATGCCCACTTCGGCACACCCCTCACACGGTTCGTGGCCCCATGGGGAGCTCCACCGAAGACCCAAATGGCCGCGTTCACGTGCGTCCACCCCGCCCACCGCATGCCCATTTCGGCACGCCCCTCACACGGTCCGTGGCCGCATAGGGAGCTCCACCCAAGGCCCCAGTGGCCGCGTTCACATGCGTCCATCCCGTCCACCGCATACCCATTTCGGCACACCCCTCGCACGCTTCGCGGCTCCATAAGGGGGCATGGCGCCTAATGCCCCAGTGGCAGGGTTCGCATGCGTCCACCCTGCCCACCGCATGCATGCCCATTTCGGCACACCCCTCACACGGTTCACGGCCCCATAGAGAACATGGCGCCCACTGCCCCAGTGGCAAGGTTCGCATGCGACCACCCCGCCCACCGCATGCTCATTTCGGCACACCCTTCACACGGTTCGTGTCCTCATAGGGAGCTCCACCAACGGCCCCAGAGGCCGCGCTCACCTGCGTCCACCCCGCCCACCGCATGCCCATTTCGGCACACCCCTCACACGGTCCGTGGCCCCATAGGGAGCTCCGCCCAACGCCCCCGTGGCAGCGTTCACATGCGTCCACCCTCCTCACACGGTTCGTGGCCCCATAGGGAGCTCCGCCCAAAGCCCCAATGGCCGCGCTCACATGCGTCCACCCTCCTCACACGGTTCGTAGCCCCATGGGGAGCTCCACCCAAGGCCCCAACGGCCGCAATCACATGCGTCCACCCCGCCCACCGCATGCCCATTTCGGCACACCCCTCACGCGGTCCGTGGCCGCATAGGGAGCTCCGCCCAAGGCCCCAATGGCAGCGTTCACATGCGCCCCCCCCGCCCACCGCATGCCCATTTCGGCACACCCCTCGCGCGCTTCGTGGCCCCACGAGGTGCTCCACCGACGGCCACAGTGGCTGCGTCGCCCACGTCGGCACGCCCCTCACACATTTCGTGGCCCCATGGGCAGCTCCACCGAACGCCCCAATGCCACCGCCTGCGCGCGCCTGGGCCATCCGTCACGGCACACCTCTCACACACTTCGTGGCCCCATCGGGAACTCCACCGAAAACGGTACGTACCCACAACGCAGTACTCGCAGCTGCATATGGTTAGGTCCATCGCCAGGCTAATTTTTTAGTGTTTCGGTGCTTCAGCATGGTGTTCCCGCTGCGACGTCGTGGGCCTCGATTTCGGATCGCAGCTTTGCTCCCGTCGTGCAGATGGGCGCTCTCGCCCTAGCGTGGGCCACTTCTTTGGATCCGAGTCCTTTTCCCTTGTTGTCGCCCCACTCGTTTCCCCTCCGCCGCCTTTCCCTGGTCCTCCTGCTCCTCCCGCTCCTCCTGCTCCACTTCCTGCTGCCACTGTTCGTCCTCGCCCTCCTCCTCCTCTCCCTTCTCCTTCTGTCCATCCTCCTGCTCACCCGCCACCTCCTCCTCCGCCTCCTCCTCCTCTGTACGCAGCTCACACTCTCCGATTGCACATAGCACGATGGGGCCTTTCTGATGGGGTTCCAGGTTGGTTTTGACACGCGTCCACGGATAGAGAGAAACTCAGCGCAATAAGAAGGGATGGGATGGAGGGATCGGAGGTCCGATGTGGCGCCAGCGCATCTATGAAGGGGCCCTGGGACACACAAATCAATCGACACGATTCCCTGGTTTCCCGATACCTTCTCATATTTTCCAAATGTTTGTCTTCCCCCCCCACTTCCCATGTTTTCCGATCTCTTCCTGGGAGTCGACGATTCCTTGTGTCCATGTGTTTCTTTCCCTCCCGAGCCTAGCTTGCCCGTCCCTCTCTCTCTCTCTCATCTCCCTCCTCGAGCGCCACCGCCCGAGCACCAGAAAGACACGCGACGCCACCGTGCGCCTCTCCCCCATACGCGAAGCCCACCCGCGCGCTTCGGGCTCGGCGCAGCGCATGCCGCTGCCAGCAGGACCACACCCCTTCGCAGACTCGTGGCCACGGGCGGTCCGCGATGCGGCGAGACTTCTCAGAAGCCCTCGCGCCTTCTGAGAAATTTGCGTTGGTCTCCGAGGAGAGCTTCTAGAATACCTCTCAGACGGCCGGGGGACCTTCGAGCCTTTCGAGAAGGCCCGCCCCTTCTCGCTTCCCTCCCCTCGCTCGCCGCCGAGAGCAGGAGCAGACACGACTTCGCAGACAGAAACTTTCGAAGGTCCGCATGGGCTTCTCGGATCGGCGCTGGGCCCCCTCCCCCGAAAGCGTTCGATTTTGGGTTTCTTCGTGTTTTGAAGCTTAAAAACAAGGCAGAAGTGACTGCCGACAGTGCCGTGTTTTTTCGCTTCTTTTTCAAGTTCTTTTTTTTGAGGGGGATTGCAGTAACCTAAACACGATCCGACCGACAAAAAGGCAGGAGAATCAACAGGATGCTTCACGACAAAACCGCGCGGCGACCGACCGCGCGGCGGTGGGACCCGGGAGGCCCCAGGCGCCCGAGACATCCTCCGAGGGCAGCCCACGTCCTGGCCATCGCTCGGACGTCCATTCCCTGTGTTTTTTTCGGTCTCGTGCGTGGTTTTTCCGCCAATGATCAAGGCTGCTCCTCGAGGGCCCTCGCCGAAGGAAAGATGCACACGTCCGAGCGATGCCAGGCCTCTAGAGGGACAGGCAATGCTCAGGTGCAGACCTCGCCGCCCGACGCGGGCGGCCGCGGGTGCTCGTCCGCCGAAGCCCCCTTCCACACCGACGCGGGCGACGCGGTGAGGGCCGACACGGGCTGCGGAACAGTCGGTGCAGTCGGGGCATTGACCTGAGGAGCTCTACACCCTGCGAAATGCTTAAGAAATCATGGGTTAAGAAATTCATAGTCTCAGAACTTGAATAAAAACCTAAAGTTTCCATTCAAATCTTAGGATTTACATGGAAACATGAAGAATCATCGAGACCCTGGCCGGAAATTTAAGTTTTCTGAAGCATCGCCTAAGGTGTAAATAGGGAACGATGCCACGCGTCCTCGAGCCCCGCGGCGGCCCCCGAGGCCCCGCCGACCCGCCGCGCGGCGCGGCCACCTCCCCCCGCCCTGGCCACGGGCCTCGCCCGCGGGCGCGCGCGGACGCCCCCTCGGCAGCTCGTGCTCGTGCGCGCGGCCTTCTTGGACCGAGGGCCTCCCCACACCTCTCCTCCTCCTCTCTCCTCCCCTCCCTCCTCCTCTCTCCTCCCTCCTCCTCCTCCTCCTCTCTCCTCTCTCCTCTCTCCTCTCTCCTCTCTCCTCTCTCCTCTCTCCCTCTCTCTCTCTCTCTCTCTCCTCTCTCCTCTCTCTCTCTCTCCTCTCTCCTCCTCCTCCTCCTCCTCCTCCCTCCTCCTCCTCCTCCTCCTCCTCCTCCTCCTCCTCCTCTCGCCATCGCTCGGACGTCCATTCCCCGTGTTTTTTGTCGGTTTCGTGCGTGTTTTTTTCGCCGAATGACCAAGGATGCTCCTCGATGGCCCTCGCCGAAGGAAAGATGCACACGTCCGAGCGATGCCAAGCTCTGGGCCACGGTGCACACACCAGCGCCGAGCAAGCATCGGACCGCTGGAGCGCTGGGCCGCGCGGGGAGCCCAGAGCTCCGGCGCCGTGATGTCTTCGCGTGGGCCCCTGGAGGTCTGGCCCTCTTCCCATGGACGGGCGCTTCGTCCCGAGCAGCTGCTTGACAGTCCCAGGGCCCAGTGAGGGGCCCCCCGCGGAGGAAAAATAACCAAAGCACTCCATCTTGTCTGTTCACAGCGGGAGGAGGTCTGGGAGGGGCGAATAAGGAGCCCACAGAGGACGCATCCACCCAACCACGTACACTAAAACACGGCCCCCAATCCGCGAGACCAGCCTCTTGGTACGAGCGCTCGCGGAATGCGCCCTCTCGAAACCCACGTGGAGTCATAGACGTGTGCGTCCTTCTTTCGCTCCTGCGCATATGTAACGATACCACCGGGCGGGTGGTCATGGGGGACCGCTCGGGGGCGAGGGCTGGTAAAACCGTGGCTGCTAATTACGGCCTTCCCGGAAGAAAAAAAATGTCCCTGAGCAAGACCTCAACGAACTAATTAGTAAACAGGCTGCTTCCCGGAAGAGAACAACAATTTCCCGGAGCTCATCAGCAGCCGCGAGCTTGCCA